AACGTTACCACTCTAATATGTCTTGCAATATCCGTGCGTTCAAAGATTCTGCGCAATCCTCTTGTTCAATATTCTCTGGGTCGGAATCCGGCTCAAATTGATATGGCAATATTGACGCCATCCTTAACTAAACCGGAGCAGACGGAACTGCTTTGGCAAGGGGCGGGGCAGTACTGAAACACCGTCGAAGCTGTTCGCCAATCACAACGCACTGGGACAGCTAACCAATCACAACACATTTAGTTTTTTGGAAGCCGGGCCTTCATCAAACCCGGAACTAATCGAGCTGTTTGTGCCAGGATGGGGAGAAAGGTATTGTAATAACGTAAATTATGTGTTTTTCGAACCACAAGCATGAGAGCATGTTCTAGTACACCCCAAAACAAATTTAAGACATTGTAAAAGAGCATAATAGGACCCCTTTAACAAATACATAATTTTATTATTTTTATTAAAATATTATGAATTGATAATTATATATTTTATTAGTTATTAATTAAAATAAATAGTACAATTATATATAGCTACTGTATGTGAATATATACATATACACATATATAATATTTGTTATTTTTTAAATATATAAAAATTTTAATGTATATATTTAAAAAAAAATAATCTAAATTGTTTAAATCTACATATTTTATTTATTTTTTATTTAATTTTTTTTATTTTAAAGACACTGCCAGTCAAAATGCATTGCCGATGACTCAACCTGATCTCCTTCTCCAACTGCTGAAGTTCTCGATTCATGCGCCCATGGTCTTTCTTCTGAGCCTTCACAGTTTGTTCATAGACGTCCAGGCTGTTCTTCTGCTGCGCTGCAGCATCCTGCATGTCCCTCAGTGATTCTGACTGTGCGTCTATCTTTTTCTCATTGTGGAAAAGCTGAAAGAGGGTCAGCTGGAGTTTGTTTTCTCTGTGTTCATCCACCAGCGCCTGATATTTTTCCGCCTGACAAGATCGAGACAAATACATTGTCAAGAGGATGTAAACATTTTGACATCTGTCAGGTCTTTAGTTTAATACCTCAGTCTTATCTTTGAAGACTTGTTTCTTCTCAGCTGTAGCTGCTTTCTTCCTGTTAAAGTGGAACTGGGTGTCCTCTTTGGCTTTCTGCAGGGCCGCCAGCTTGGCATCATACTCGGCGCTCAGCTCTCCGGAGCTGCTGATTCGTTCAAACATCTTTGTTCGTTCTTTGGCATTCATCATGGCAATTGACTCCACAGCACCCTGATGATCAGTGTAAGAATAAATATTAACATTATAAATTATCATAAAGACCGATAACCAAATGCTAAAGCATTTGTTGACCACTGAAGCACCTGATACACCAGACAATTCTTTGCTTTCACCACAATGCCAATCTTCTCCAGCTCTCCAGTGTACTTTGCCAAAGTGACCTGTTTACCATTCACACGATACTCAGAAGAGTCCCCTGTAAAAAAATGAATCATACCAACAGCAAACAATTAAATTTGATCTATCATATATTTTAGCCTGAGCTCAATCACACTCACCTGAAATGCGCCTGCTGAAGATCATTTCTTCATTATTGTCTCCACAGTATATCATGCTCACGCTGGCGAAGGTGGACGAGGGTTTGCCGATGTGGGCACCGTGGATGAGATCTCTGGTGTGTTTAACACGAAGATTTACTGCTCTCTCTCCCATCACAAATCCAAGAGCATCCATGACATTAGATTTGCCTTGGAAAAAATGGGAAGAATCAATCATTGTAATCAATACTGATGATGCCTCCTAAACATTTTATTTATTTAGTCATTTAGCAGACGCTTTTATCCAAAGCATGCAAAACATGTACACGATTCGTATTTTTGCTGCTACTACGTTACACTTAAAAAACTGTGGTGGTACCGTGGTAAGTTGTTGGTACTGATAGTATGAGAAGATAACAAGGTTTTTATATGGTTTTCTTGCTATATTTTACTAGACCAGTATACAATACTATAACGTTATATATCAATAATGCTGCATCTTATATTCCTGATATTTCTTAAAAACGGCTATAGTACGCAAAACGACATGTTTTGGCGCCATTAACGTAATATTATTAAAAAGTATTTAATTGCAATCTTTTTTCTTCAGACATTTTTCTTCAAACCCGTATGTAGCACGTTAACCATCTACATAATGTATGTTATTTAGCAAATTTACTAATAAGTTGATTAATTTTGCGCTAGCGATATACAGTAGCAAACGGTTTTATAAGATTAGCCACGCAAATGAGCTTAATTACCAACTTACCTGATCCATTAGTGCCAATTATGCAATTAAACCTTTTAAATGGGCCAATAGTTTGTTTTCCTCGCCAGGACTTAAAATTTTCGACGTCTAACTGTTTTAAGAAACCCATATTTCATTAGTGGATGAGCCAGATAACTGCTTTAACGATACTCAAAGAAAGCTGCTGACAGAAAGAAGCTGACGGCGGGAAAACTGCTTCATGTAACGTTACTGCTGAATCTGCCGATTCGAAAATCACCTCAAAAAATGTAGAGGCACTTAATTCCTCCAGAAATACAAATCTATCAAGTAAAAATATCGTAAATATACATCTAGGATTAATTCAGAATACAGTTTAAAGTTTTATACTCAAATAATTCATAAATGTGCATGTGGCATATTCTGACATTTGTATCTTGTCCCAGCTATCTTGATATAACACAATGTATTCAAAAATAAATCATAAATTACGCTTTTGATTTAAAACACACAATAATAATAAAAAAAAAATCGATGTATTTTTAAAACGATACTGTGATTGAGGCAAACTAGTAATAAAATAATTGCGAAAGGGCAATATTGTGTCACCATTTAATGGCAAAATATGTTGTAATTTTTTTATTCAAAATAACTACTCCAGCAAAGTTTGTCTGAGACCTT